TTCACAAATAACATTATTTATTTTAATATGAATCTTCCCTCAGTTGAAGAGTATGATTTGATTTGGAAGAGATAATATTTACAAAATTAAAAAAAACCACTGATACTCTCTAATTTCCTCAAGTAAAAAAAATGGTTTAATATCACCTATGACAGAATACTGTCTTAATGAAAATATAGTCATATTTTAATGTAGAGCACAAGTTTTAAATAACTTAATATTTTTAAAAAACACCATGAAAATTTTCTTCTGTGACTTTTAGACAAAATCTCTATCAACATGACAGATAGAAATTAAAGTCTATTTTATACCCTAATTTCACATTTGCTTTCAAAGATAAAGACCTAGTGACTGAAAATCAAATCTGAATAGATGCCTAAAGGGAATGAATAAAAGATTTGCTTTATGTTTATTTTTTAATGAAAGCACAGGAGAATAATATAAAACAGAGAAGGCTAAAGAGAAAGGGAAAATGAATTTTAAAGTGGCTTTTGAAAGATGAAAAAGGAGATGAAATTATTGGAATATACAGGACTTGAATCAGTCAATCTACACATGCACAGGCCAAGTGCACACACACAAGTACACACACACACACACACACACACACACGCACAAACTCCCCATACTGCTCCCCAGACCTGTGCCTTGGAAGCCGGCTTAATATTCTGCTGTCACCATGGGAAGAAAATCGTCTTCATTATTCCAACTACTGTGGGTGTGCACATGAAGTTTTGTGACATCTACTGATTTCCTGAGGGTGAGATCCACTTCAAAGGCTGCAAAACGATGTATATGTTTATGATACATGGCTTTCCTGAAGCAGTTCTGCAAAGCCTTTAGCACAATATTAGTGATATGAAGAAGAGATAAGGGTGGTTAAAAGTTGAAAGGTACGGAAGGAGCTATGGGATTAAAAATCATGCGACACACGCATTATAGAGGTCAGTAAATAGAGAGTTTCACATAAAAAGAAGTAGGACAAGCCATCCTGTGCTTCAGCTCTTATCTTGAAGCAATCTTACCTTTTATTCCAATACACAGTGAGCTATGAGGGGGTAAACTGAATAGAGCGCAGGGTCAGCAGCTGCGTCCCGTCCCGTGAGAGCAAGGAATGCTGAGCATTAAGGGTGCTCTTTCCCCGTGCTGCCTTAAAGCTGGAGCAGCACAGCCCTAGTGCTATGGGGGGCGGGCGGCATCCCAGCCTGTGCCTGAAGCAGGGGCTGCATCTAATACATCAAAGGTGGGTGTGAGAATGGTGAGGGAGTGGGGAGAAAGAGGCAGGGTGGGAGCAGAAGGGGAGAGAGGGATGCAGAGGGGAGAGAGCCACACATCAGTCTGGGAGAGTGAGGGCGTGAGGAGGCGAAATACTGCAGAACTGAGAGACTCGGTAGGAAAGAGACACTGTTCCCTTTGGAACAGAATAGAAGCAGAACATTTTAATTTTCTCAGCCACCCCCACCACACACACCCAAGAGAGTGAGCAAGAATGGGCACAGCATGTCCAGGAGGAACAGTCCTACTGACCTTCATAGAAACCAGGCATGGCATTGCGGGCGATTTTCTGAGGAGTAAATTGACTCTGGAGGACAGTGAGGGGGGTGTGGCTCCTGTCCTGTGTCTCAGGCAGCTTTTTGTATAGAGAGGGCAGGTCCTTTAAGCACTCACAAGCCGACCTTGCAGGGCTTCTCTCAGGAGGACACACAGCAGCTCTGCACTGGGCTTCCTTGGATCCCAGATCCTGGAGAGCAGGCGGGCACTCAGGACTGCGAGCTGCTCCTGCCCTCTTTCCTCCAGTGAGACCCAGGGGAGAGCCCTGCAGCTCCTAGAATAAACCCCCGGCAGCCCTCTCTCCCTGTACCCCAAGCCTGGGACTGGAAGCCATGTACTCCTAAAGATGGTAGCACCTGAAAGGCTATGCCCAGATGACCTTTGAGGGTAGCAATCTCAGCTCAGTGTCAGCTGGGAGGGACCCTAAGTGACAGCGCTGTGACTTGTGGTCTCTCAATGGATTTAGTTTAAACCCTTGGGCTGCCACACTTCCTTAGGACATTGATTCTCCCCTGGATTTCAGTCAGCCTCAGTGAGCTCAGCTTCCCTTCCTGTTGGCACCTTGCCCCAAATGCCTGTGTAGGGCTTTCCCCTGAGCAATGCAGGCCCAGCTTCCATGGTGTCCTCCTGCATGTGGACAATGCCCTCAGGAGCTCCTCAAGAATCCTGGCTCAACTTGAGTTTAAGCTACACCCAAGGACACTGGGCATGGGCTTCTCCAGCTCTGGGAGAAGATGGGGTTTATTTTCAGAGCCTGACCCTACAATGTTCTTTTATTCTAGTAACAGACCCACAAAGCCCCCCTCATTGCTTATGATTTTGCTTCAAGTTATTGCTCTCCAGATACTGTTGATCACATGCTCTCCACTTGCCTGTTTCTAGAACCCTCTTGTTGAATGCCCACATCGGTCAGGAGTTGATACTCAGTTACACTTTCTTTCTCTTCTTTGTCTGGCATCCTCCTGGGGTTTTGTATGAGCCTGGTGCAGTCATGGACCCACAGACCATCACAGGAGCTTCAGCACCAGTTTAGCAGTTTCCTACAAACCTGCAGGGATTTCAGTGGGCCAGACCCAGGTCCGTATAGACCACATTTCCAGAGCAGTGTTGCACATGGAGCAATGAAGATCGCACGTTTGTCCATCTTTAAGTCTTCAAGAAATTGTCTCAGAAAAAAAAAAAAGAAATTGTCTCAGTGATGTTTTATAGTTTCCATATTTTTGATAAACTCATCACTAAATATT